GGGCACCAGTTACTCACGGACGCCCAAGCCGGGTTCTTCCTTCCGTTCCCCCTCCCCCCCCCTTACTATCCACAAAACCCAATATGGCGTCGCTGGCGGGGGGGGGGGGGGGGAAACATTCACTTCCACTTCCAGGGTAAAAGGGGCGGGATAAAGGCCGGGTTCTGCCCCGCCATTGGGCCACCCGTGTGGGAGGGGGAAGGGGGCGTTGCCGCGGCGCCGAGCTGTGAGGAGGGAGGTGGGTGGCGGCGCGGGTGAGTGAGGACGGGGTGGGGGAGGCAGAGCGGGCGGGTGGGTGCCGTTATGGCCCCGGCTGCAGGCAGCCGCTGCGCTACCGGCAGGAGAAGCGTGGCCCCCGGCCAGCGGGGACCGAGCACGGGGCGGCCCTGCGCGTTGCCCGCCCGCTCTGCCTGTCCCCCTTCGTGTGGTGCCCCGGGGCCCCGCCCCTCGCTGCCGCGCAGCCAATGAGCGCCAGGAGTTTTTGGGGGGGGGCGGGGGGTGAGGTTGGGGTTCCCCCCCGCCATTTTCTCACCTCAGCCCGCCTGAGGGTGTGTGTGTGGGAGGTAGCGAATTTGTACCAGGGCAGAGCTCGCCGTGTCGGTCTCCTGCGCGGTGCCGCCTCAGCCTGGCCCCATCGTCTGGAGGGGCGAGGACGAGTCTCCTACGACCGCCATGTCCCGTCTCTCGTTAAGACGAAGAGACGCTAAGCCCGTGCTCCTGTGTTTAGGCTAACGTAAATACAAACGCTTTTCCTCTTATGGGTTTGCTTTTTTTTTTCAATGCTGGCGTTCTTGTTTTAAGCCAAGGTAGCGTAGTTGCTAACGCTTTAGTTTCCGGCTGTTCCTCTGTAGTCTGTCTGTAGCGCTTATAATGGCCTTGAGATATTTAAGAGCATGGGTTCCTGTTACAATGTAAAGTGAGTATAAATAGTAACCAACGTAATATATGTTTTCACATAAATGTTGCTTATACTGAAGTTTTAAAATGGGTGTCCCTGAGTAAAATTAGTGCTTTTATTTTTGTATCACTAGTTATTCAATTTTTTATTCAATTTTCAATCTAGTCTTTCTGTAGTATTTAAATAATTTCGGTTGTGTTCTCTTAACACGATGGGCAGTGGGGTGTGTAGAGGCCTCAGGTGGGTCTTGTATGAAGAACTGGAGCCTTTTGGGTTTACTCAGGGCTGTGACCTGAGGAACAGAAATGATTAGGCTAGGCTTGCAACAATCCTTTTAGCTTTTTTTTTTTTTTAAATCGGGTAATTTGTAGTCTTTAAACCCTTTCCATGCTATAAGACAGACCAAGAAGGCAAACAGATCCCCCCTTTTTACACAACACAGTAGAGGATCATTACCTGCAAAACTAGCATAGCTCTAGAGCTTACAGACTGCTGTGAAAGTCAGATCCTTGATTTCCAGAGTTTTAATAACTGTGATGCCATTCTGTTCTGTTAGAGGTGACGGGGAAAAATTTGACTTGATGGATTTAGGATTTCTGCCACGTATATACTCTGTAAATCCCTTCAGTTGGGGTCAATGTTTAGATGCTAAGATAGTAAGTCTTTAAAGTATGTGGAGGTGCTAACAATACGTAGGTATAAATTTAATCATATAAAGGGGAATAATAACAAAAAGTTTCAACTTTTGATGTGAGTTGAAAACAGAGGTGGATGTTTGCCTGTTAAAAGGGGTTGGAAGTATTGTTTTGTTTTCTAGGTCAGGACAAGCTGTTCTTTAAAGATGGAAGTTACTATGAGGGCGAGCTTGTTAGTGGAGAAATTATGGGGAATGGATTTCAATACTGGGCATCAACGGGTGAGCCTGTAATTTACATATGTTTAAAAAAAATAATCCCTCTGATTAAATTCTGATATATAAATACATATCATGAGCAGCCAGTCTGATTTAGTCCACGTTGTCAGACTTCCACGATGTTTATTGAAGAGTTGTGGGTTTTGTGTTTTCTTGTTGGCCTCTCAGTTTAGGCTGGGTTAACTTTCTGTCACCTCAGAAAGTTAATCGAATGTGTCAATAGTGGAAATCAGAAACATGTATCATCAATTTTTGATAATAGTCTCAGTCCTTCAAAGAAGCACACGTATGCAGACTTGTGCTCATGTGAAGTGCTCCACAAGATCAGGCCAAATATGTTAAAGGATTTAAAGAATTTGAATAAACTATCCATTAGGAAGGGATATCGTGTGCATGATTTACCAAGGGAAAGTTTCAGTGAGCTCGCTCTGTCCTAGCATCCTGAGCAGAATGAAGTTCTTTGATTAAAGATCTGTCCTAGTAAGTTGCTCCAGAAAAGAATTTCTCTTGTTTCCAGTTATTCCTGTACAGGTAAGTCAGTGACTTCTCTACCTGCCTAACCCCTGACAGAAAATAAAGGGGTGACCACATGGAATACAATGTGGGTAATAAATTGGGTAAATACTTGACAGAAAAATAGTCATCTGTCATTCTAAGATCACACATACATCAGGAGATTCTCAGTACAGTACTTCTAGTGCTAAGCAGCTGTTTTGTCAGGCTTTGACACAAAGATTTGAATGAGTACATGCCATCAAGAAGCTGTTAAGGTGGCTATGAAATACAAGTACTTTTTTTACACATTCTTTAACCATAAAAGAACATGCTATGAATCTTTTCTTTTTAACACATCACTGTCAGTTTTAAAGACCAGAAGGATTATGATTCATTAGTTTTAAAATAAAGACTGAATGAGCATGTTTATAGTCTTCATTAGACAGCATTAATAATAAAAAGAGGTAGTTGTTAATTTTAAACTTCTAGGCTTTTAGAATGTCTTCTATTTGTGCTCTATAAATAAAATATCATTTATTGGTGAACCTTAAATATATCTAAAAAAATTAAACCATGTTTGACAGATCTGTTGTATCTTTCTGTATTTAACTTTCTCATATATTTGGTTCAAAGGAACACTTACTCTGCTCAGTTCGTGTTTGGAAAGCTCCAGGGACACAAAGTCTTGTAATAGAAAGATGGTGGGAAATATGAAGGAGAGCTCTTTTATGGAATGAGAGAAGGTAGGTTAGACCCTTTGAGTAAGCTTTGTTTAAAATTTACTCTGTCATGACTGAACAGACCTGTTTATGCTGCATAAATATGATTATTTAATGATTTCATTTTTCAAAGATAGCTTTGATCTACTGACAGCCAGGAAACTAAACTCTTGTTCCTGCTTTATGTTGACTTAATCTGTGAGAATTAGTTTTTGTTTCAAAAATAAGAGCATAAAATACTGAGTAATGTTTGAATATGTATTTAGAAATAGTAATACTTAGTAAAATTTAGAGGTGGAAAAAAAGTTGTTACTGGCTATAATCTACGAGGGAAAAGTCCGTACTGATAAGATGTTAAGATTCAGAAAACAACTGGCACTGTCACAATTACAGTTTGGTAACATAGCATGGGAGATGGAACCGTTGCCTCAATGAATTGCTGCTATACAATTGCTTAGTTTTCAAACAGAACAAATTGTTAATCAGGAGAAGCTTTATGTCCAGCTCTTACTTCTGCTCACTTTTTCATATTTAGGAATTAAATACATTTAAAAATATGCTTAAATGAAAAAAAGTTACAGGTGAATTCTGGGACTCCCGTACTTTGGCCAAATTCAGAGATGGGACAGTTTGGTTGACTGAATTTGTAATACTTACATCATAGGAGAATTTGATACTTTAATGGCCTATGTGCTAATTGATTGGCTACAGCATTTGAAACAATTGGAATGAATTTGAGGGCTCCTGAAAGTTGAAGAAATACTTCTATAGTTTTTATTCAGTTTCAGTCTAGCAGGACTAAAACAGTTGTGATCTTGCATGTATTTAAGACAGAGTTTACGTACAGTTACTCAGGCTTGTAAATAATTTCTTAATTGACTGAAATGTAACCAATTTAATATGCCTGTCAAACTCCATGTTAGGGTATTTACACTGAAGTCAAGTTACTCAGTGGTGCTAGTGCTTGCAGTGCTACTGAACAGTAAGATCTTTGGAGCAGCAATTTCATTGTGTATGCAGTCAGTTGCCTGTTCTGATTTTACTGTAGACATTCATCCTGTATAAAAGCTATGTGTGTGGGTTTCCTTCCTCACGTTTGGAATTTACTGTGCATGGTACCAATCACTGTGATTTTATTGAGGGTAGATAATTCTCTGCTAATTTAAGCCAACTGTAATTTGGAAAAAAATCAGAAGGCTCTGACTGAAAAGTTGCTGAGTACTTATCAGAAGTGATCAGACTCAAAATGAGTGAATGAATAAACAAGATTTTAATTTCCAACTTGTTGAGGGGCATATCATTCTCTTTCTCCCTGATGAAAGGTTGGAATGTTGTGTTTAAAGAACTGAACTGTGCCATTTCACTGGTCACTTGAAATTCAGGGAAAGGACTGTAAGAGTGTGGACTAGATTTGACTGCCATGGCTTATTGTTCCTGGCTCACTTTCTCTGATAGTCTGGTGTATCAGGTCACCAAATCTGTTTTCCTTTAAGAATTTCCTATTTGTTTTTCTCTGTTTTAGGAATAAGGATAATTATGAAGGAGCCTGGATTCTAGACAAGTGTCAAGGTCATGAAATATTGCCTTGTGCTGTATATGAGGTATATAAAGAAGACTTATGAGAAACTGTACTGATTTGTTCAGAAAAGCTGAAAGGATCATGGTAGAGGATGCTTCAGGCAGATAAATAGAAAAGGTCTATGTTTAGAACTAGTACTGTTAGTTCATTTAACAAATTCAGTCCCCACTTTTAATTGAGTAACACATAAAGAGATTTCAAATTTGATTTTTTTTTTTTAACATCTCCTAATAGTATTTTGTGTAGTTGAACTTCAGATTCAATTTCAGTTTGACTTTTCTTGGATATGTAGTCTACTTAGGAGTTTTCTTGTGATTATTATTTGGATTATTCCTTATTTGTATAACAGGAGTAAACATAATGGTTTGGGGGTGGGAGGAAATGTATGTGTATATATGCATAAACACATACGAATACTCATACTCACTGACACCTACGGCATGGTAGAAAGATAAGGAAATATATTTTCGGTGTGAACTAAACAACAGGATAAGATATGGTGTGGATTATCTTCCAGCAATTCAGTGAGACGACCTTGATGTCTGGGACTTAAGGACCAAATGTGGTTGTGGTAGGTAAATGAATTACTGTATGACAAATCAAGAATAGGATTCTGTCATTGCAATCACAGTGCCTGAGGGTTAAAAAAAAATATGAAATTTATTACTGAAAATTTGAGAAATGAAATGACATCAAATCTGTGTTTGTCTTGGGATTTTTTTAAATTATTATTTAATTTGACATCATTTCTTTGGTGAGTGTTTGGAGAGAGAGAGTTTCTCTGAAGAAGTAGCATTTTATACTTTGGAAGTAACTTTAGAACTTGAAAACAGTAACTTTTAATTGTTGCTTACATATTAAGGTTTGGAACAGGCACTTCATAAACTATTTCGTTACCCAGTTAAAATGAAGTTCAGAAACCCAGTACTGATTTCATCGTTTAAGTCTCTTTTTCTTTCTGACTTTGATCCTCATTCAGTTTTCTTTGTTGAAAAGAGGGGGTTTCCGTAGGTTTAGTGGAAATTTGGAGAAGTACGTGTTCGGAGAAGCTAAAAGGTAGGGGAAGGCTATTCAATATAACTTTACTATGTGTCATTAGCCAACTGAAGTTTTTCCCTATGGGTATGAAATCACAACCAAAACTCTACTGAATACTGTTTATGTAGTTAAAATGGAGCATAAAGCACTTAGCTATCTTGCAGTTCCGTCTGCTATTGGTATATACATAAGGAGGTATCTTGGCTTTTCAGTTGAGGGTTTGGTTTTTTGGTTTGGTTCTCTTTTGTACCTGTCAACACCCCCAGATTTCTTTTAAATATACATTAAATCTGTTAATGTAAACTTAATTTTTTAATACAGTTTAAAAATCTTTATGTATTTTTCCAGGAACATAAGAAAGTTGGGAATTAAAATCAGTAGGACAAGATAATAAATACTTTTTAGATAAAGAAACAGATGACATGAAAACATGTACAAGTGCTGTTGTGCACTTGTTTCATTATAACCTAAACACTGTTAAACAAAAATGATGTTGTTACAGTAGCTTCTCACTTCTTGAGACGTTAAAGACAGGGTATTTTATGTATATATATATTTGTGTGTGCATGTATGCACGCACAGTTTTGTACCACTGGGTGTCTCTCTAGCATCTGTTTTGAGACCAAATTATTAAATTCTTCAGGCTTACACTTGTTCAGTAATTGGTCTGTCTCTGTAAGTGTTTACTACTGTATTTAAGTTTACACTGGGTGTGTGCTCAAAAGTGACAAGATACTTTGGCCAAAAAAAAATAAAAATCCTGACAGTACTGACAACAGTATCTGGTTGATTGATTTAGTATTTATATTATGCGGAAAACAAAAGACAACCACTTAATGCAAGTGTTCACTCAGAATATACTGCTTTCAAATTATATAACTTAACATAGAAAGATTAAAGCATATAAATACTTTTTTTCAGGCAAAATAATAGGTTGAAGTTCTTTTTTTTAACCAGTTACTGTAGAATTATGAAAGAGCTAGCCAGCCTTCTGGAAAGGGTCTAAGACACAGCTGTGACCTACACTTTACAGGTGAATGATTTAGCCATGTGTTTCTACAATTTTAATCTCTTTCAGCATGCTGATTGTAGAGCCATTCCCCTGAGTAGTGGTAGTATAAGTATTATTCTCCTTTCTGTTTTTCTGCCCCAAACACTGTCTCAGATCTTAAGTCTTCTATGGCTCTGTCATTCTCCGACAAAATCTATAGTATGCCTGGTCACTTCTTTTATTTCAGATTATAAAGCTGACAGTAATATACTTTGAGAATAATAATCAGGAACTTAATGGATATAAAATTTTCAATACTGCCTGTTTTTTCAGCAGCCAGTTTTGACACAGTACAAGTAACTGGTAGAATCTACTACCTGCTTTAATGATCTGTTGTTGTCAGTGAAAAATTGGCAAAAACTATGTGATTGGTTAACCACTGAGTTTGTGTGCACAGTATTTATTAAGTTTATACCAGTACGTTCCCGACAGATACGGTAATAGATCAGTATACACTGAAGTCCAACAAAAATCAAGGCACAGTTCCAGCAAAACATGAGTCTATGTAATATGGAAGTAAACAGGAAATATGTGAAAACTAATTAGTGGAGTTATGTATGGGCAGCGCAGGGGATGCAAACCCAGTCATAACACAAATGGTAAGACTTGGTTTGGTGCCCAAAAAAGGGCAAGTTGCTAAGAAACTCAAGTTAAGGATCTGTAAATTGTCTGCTTTGTCCACATAAACTTTTGCACGTGAGATTTTGAAGTTTCTTTTGTATGGTCAGATATCTTGATTCAGTGAATATCAAAGTTTGTGGCTAATCAGTTAGTGTACCCATACTTTGTGCAGATACTTATATGCTTGTAAACTGTGTGTAACTGTAGGGATTTTGAAAAAATACAATATTTTTTTTTTCCTTTACTGAAATAGTATCTTGGACATACTGAAGTAATCTGCTAGAACAAAAAGAACATGGGCAAATATTTCAGGCTCTAGGGTATTCTTCTAGCATTACTTCTGTGTGGTATAGAATATATTGAATAATGGCATCAAAGTTGAATTTGTTTATTTTTACTCTTCAGTTTGAACTGTTATAATGTCAGGGCTAGGTGTTTAGATCAATCTTTTGCAAGTGATAAATTTTTAGTAAGTGGATGCTGTCAGTTAATAGCATATTGTAGTCTGCAAACCTTCAGAGATTCAGGTCAATTAAATGTCCAGTAAACAACCAATAATTATATCAACAGAAGAGTCCAACAATAACAAACTCTGATTTATTTGCTGCTTAACCATAAAACGGATTTCATGTTGAGTAAAAATGTTGTCGAGAGATGCAAGATAGAAACTATAACTGAACACTAGGAAACAGGTAACAAAACAAAGCCCCTGACAGCTGCTGATTTAAAACAACA